AGGACAAATGCATCTTTGACGTGTTTCGAATTAATTAATTCAGGCTCGTATATATCTTCCTCTTTACCAGTTCCTAACTGACCTTCCGAGCCCATGCCCCAGGCATAGAGTGTTCCTGAAAAAATTGTCAAGATTAATTCGCTATCGTATGTTGTAGACATTAATTTTTATTTCGCATACTATAATGAGACTTACCAGTATTTGTGACGGCAAACGACTGTGCAGTACCAGCTGCCACGTCAATACACTTTAAGTTTTCCAGCTTGGGCACTGGAATCAGCTCCTGAGCATCCTCGCATAGGCTTCCAAGGCCTAATCTTCCGTATTCCTTACGCCCGATTGTATAAACTTGTCCTTGATCGTTCACAGCAACTGTGTGATGCTGACCTGAGCTAATTTGCATCCATCTGTGTCTGCTGAATGTGTGCGAAACCTTCGGATGTAAGGTTTTATCACATCCTTTAAGACCTAAAATTAAATGAAAAATAAGTTATTCGAATTAGGTCAAACATTTATTTTAAAAATTTTCTTATAAAAACTAACATACCGATCTGATTATAGTTGTTAAGCCCACTAACATACAGGTCACCATTCCCTGCTTCAGCGAACGTGGAAAAGCTACCAGCCCAAATATTTCTAATAATGATATTTTTTTTTATGTGAAAGTAGACTTTCTCTGGGGTGAGAAGTTGGTCCTTTCCCCGTCTACTATATCGGTCTACTTTTCTTACCGAAACTCTGCCGAGCTGGCCCTGCTCGGCACACCCAAGTGTAAACACTGTCCCAGTGTTATCCAGGAGCACAATATGATCTGACCCGGACGCTATTTTCAAAAATTTTTTGTTATGTAGAATTTCAATTGGAGTCTCTTCTTTTTTTCTATTGATTAACCCTAAAGTTCCGTGTGAATCCTACAAAGTGAAATCATGTGACAATTTATTAGAATGCTTATTACTGCTACCTGAATGATTTATTCTTAGTTTTTTTCATCATAAATTAACAAGCTTTCGCTTACCCGAAATGCTCCCCAACAATAAACCCTCCCATCTTCAAGAAGAGCGGCACTGTGTGAATCACCCGCGGTTACTTGTATAGCCCGCGCAGGCAACTCTACAAATCCTGGGGTAGCTTCTCCACACTCTGTAATGTCTCTTCCCAATGCCCCCTCGTCGTTACAACCAAAGGTTGCAACGCAACCATCATTGGTGAGGATTATGTTGTGCATTCCTCCACCAGCTACGGAAATAACATCTTTTAATTTCGAGACTTCCGTGAATCTTGTTTTTTCTAGGACTTCCTCTCCTAGTCCCAGCTGGCCAGTGTCCCCTTGGCCACATGTAAGGGTAGCACCACTGGTGCTCCCTTGTCGGCGTATCGCCTTAGCTACTGGATCTACAAAATGTGAATTATCATTATCTGGGGAGTACTAGATTTTTATCGATTTTTATAGATATGGTTCAAAATGTGCAAAAAAAACTAGAATTTACGTACCCTCAATCTGCAATATCTCTTGCTTTGTATTACACGTTCTAGCCCGTTTTACAGGTATGGCTGACTTGTCTTGCCATACTGAACACTTTCGTTTAAGTGTAACCGTTTCTTTAGGTGGCACTGTTGAGAAATAGATAAACAAAGGGTTATTTAGTTATCCTCGAATGAATAACAAAGCAATAAAAATAGCATATGTGAATGGTAATAGGTTTAAAAAATGAATTATCTATTTAATACAGAAGTTAACACAGTTGCGAAAGACATTTCGAAGCTATGTCATTGAGCCAGTTGAACGATGATAGTAAGCTTGTTACACAGTTTTTTAAAAAGCAACTGTTACCTATTTGTTCTTTTCTACTGTTTGTAAGCTATTTAGTAACGCATATAATTGTCTAATATTAGTTTAGGTTTCAAAAATACAAAAAACAATCACGTTTTTAAAGATCACGTGGGATTGCCGTTGTTAGGTTTCAAGTATAGGATAAGGATTGTTCGCTACCACAAGATTTGTGAATATATTAGAGCATCCATGTACCTATACTCTTCTTTTTTATCGTGTATGTATTAAAATCTATCATATAAATCGCAATATAAAAATGCTTATTAGAAAACCTAAATCAAAGTTTAATCAGCGTGGGTCACCAGATGCATTCTTTATCGTATCTTTCAAGGAGATCGGTTTCTCAACATTTTTTTTTTCTATATTATAGTACTCTATGTCCGGCTCCTTTAATAAGGGCACTACTATGGGCACTTAGCATTTGGGAAAGGGGCAAGGAAAGGAATGGGAGGCCTCCCATTACTGGGAGGGGGGGTAGGGGGAAATTAGGCAATTTTGCTACGAGAAGGTAGCCCTAAAAACCCTCCTCGAGGAGCATTGCGTGATGAAAAAGCGCATGTTAAAAATCACAAAGAGACTTGCCTGGAAAGTCGCACTGACCGGGAATCGAACCACGGTCTCCCGCATGCCGACCCACGACCTAGCCGACTGAGCCACTCCGCGCTTCTCAACAATTGTAAGGAATATTTGTCTCAAATAATCTGACTATCTTTTATTGGTGTAAGAGTATTGGATCAAAATACCTTTGGACAATTAGACCTACATACTCAAATTTCTGAGGTAAGGTCAAAAGTTTTAGGCGAAGTGATTCTGGCAAGCGTAGCGAGAGAATTAGTCCAGTAGTATTTTGGCGTAGTTTAGAAGATTAGAAAAATTTAGTGGGTAACGCACGCCTTTTTCAAGATCGATCAACGCAAATTCTCTGCAAGGAAGTACAGTTATCTTCGATTTAAGTAAGCCTTACACTGCAAGATAGTATGAGTGCGTGTGTGCATTGGACTCTGAAAGACGTTCTATCGTGAAAATTGTACCTAACTTAAATGAAAAGAGTAGAGTCTTAAAGTATGACCTTAAAGTGAAGGTGCAAGGCGTGACGCGCTTGGCAGCGTGATCATCCACCGCGAGACCTGTGATTAGTTTAATGGGCCATATTCTAGACCTATATTCCTGGTGTTCCATGATAAGTGGCTAATGGAAGTGACAAGGGTGAGTGGTTTTCTAGAGTGTGGTGAGCTGACTTGGAAATGACGGTTGAATTGCATTAATACTTGTGCTGCAGCGTGTTTAGTTTTAAACTGACGAATTCTCATACTTTAGGTAACAAAGCTCTCTTAGCGCTATATAAAAGGGTCCTTGCGACCTTTCGTGTGCGATAAATATATAATTATTAACAATATAATATTTTCAATAAAATGTGTAAATACTATATATCTCACACTCTAAAGTCACTTTTCTGTAATTTTGTCTCTCTTTAGAAACAATTTCCTGTCTATGTATTATTCCTTTTTCTTTGCTTACGAAAAGTGTCGGCTTGCCAAGGCTTTTTCTCCAGCTTTTTATGTCTAGACATGCTCAGTCTTTTACCTGCAAATGAGCAACGAACTTTACTTATCCGTTCTTCTTGTTGTTGTACTGTCATTTGATACTAACGTAACATGCTCATCAGAAAATAGACAATAAGTATCGCAAATCATGTGAACTTAACTCAATATAATTTAACAATTTGAAGGAGACTAAGAAATCATAAAAAAAGTAAAGAATAGTTGTCTCATGATTTAAAAAACCTTTAATTTTATAATAGCTAATCACAGTGTATCTTGTGGCTCGGGTTACTATAATTTTGATATAGCTAAGTACAGCAGTGTCAGTGATTATTCGCTTCGTGTAGCAATTTAACACGATGCCACCAGCAGAGGAAGACTTATCGATATTAACTAACAATAAAACATAGAATTTCATAGACAATGATCGTTAAAAGCGTTTATTTCAACAATAATGTATATTCAACGACTGATGTAACTTTTGTAGGTGTTGAATATTCTTATAAGTTAAAAATACCTATTTTATAGTGCTGTTTAACCCCTGTCCGGACCACTGTCTTGGCCGGTATTTAAATTGCCCGTTGTCACGAACCAATCGCCCGTCCTGCATTTTGGAGAGGTCTCTAGCGAGAGCAGCGTGTGTGGCGCCCTCCAAACGGTGGGCGCGTCTGGAGTGAGTCGTCTTGAACGAGTCAACACTGCATCACCGTTTTTTTTCTCTTCTAGGTCTTGTCTCGTCTACATAGTGTTCTTTCACTTGAGACTCTACTTGTACCGAATTGAATGAACCGACTTTTGAAAAGACACAAGGGCGAGTGAAGTTGATTCATCCGCCCAACATCTGGTCCTTCGAGCCGGATCGCGCGTCACAACAGCGTGATGATCGTCTGGGTGCAACGCTTATCGTTATCATGTGAGTACATAATATACATGCATTAGCATTAGTGCGCACCTCTCCACTATTGCCTCGGGAGCATTGAGCTCTTGGCAGCAAGTGATGCCGCGAGGTTGATTTCTCGGGAAATGGTGTGTGCCAGGTTCTGCTGGGTTATGATCTCGTCGAGGTCGTATCACCCATCAACTCGAGAGAGTTCTTGAGAGTCCTCTCCATGTAGTGGCCGTGGTCGCCGTGTGCCCATGCCTCATGCAGAGAACCGTGTATGTTGGTTAGGAAATGCCGCGGCCGCCATGAGCCCGCGTCGCATACCAGGCTCGCGTCAAGGCACGCTGTGTAGGTTATGAACTGCCGTGGCCGCCACGTGCCCGCGCTGCATGCCACTCTGTACTGATACGCGTAACATACGTTAAACGGAGTATACATCGAACTCTCTGTCATTTACAGGGACGACTGCACTACGTCTTTGCTCGCGACGCAGCGATCGCTCGGGAACGTCATCGCATGATTCTCGCAGACCGCCATTGATACCCAGGATAATCAGTTGACACTGGGTCTTATTGAAGCTTGGCTCCAGCTTCTCGATGAGTATTGACTAGCGTGACTTTCAGGCTAACCATGTAGCCCTGCTGGAAGCAGCCACAACCGCCACGGCAGATCCTGCGGGTAACGTGTACGCCTCAGCTGAGATCGGCTGTATTGCTGCACTGTCCCGCATCTACGACCACCACAGCCGCTTACAGCCAAAGCCGCCTAAGCGTAGCCTACTCAGCATCGTGGGCCAAGACTGCCGTCCATCAGCATCCCTCAGTTTTCTGGTCGGCGGGAGGACTGGGAGTCCTTCCACGACATGTTCAAAGCTTTGGTCCACAACGAGCCTCAACTTACCGACGTCGAGCACCTTTACTATTTAAAGTCGCTCGTGCAAGGGGACGCCCAGGCTGCTCTCGACACCGTTCAGACTGTTGGCACCAACTACAGCACTGCATGGAGTCTCCTCGGGAATCGGTATGAACACCGCCGGTTGCTTGTGCACGATCATCTCTCGGCGTTGCGCAGCATCAAACCCATGCGAAAAGAGCCCGCTGAAGGTCTACAGACACTGTTGGACATCCTTGAGCGCCATCGAGACCAACTCCGCGCTCTAGGTCGCCCTGTGGACCACTGGGACGATTGGTTCGTCTCACTCGCCGCCACAAGCTTGGCTCCATCGACTAGACGGGCCTGGGATACGGAAGCGTCTACGCGCCACCTAGCCAGCTACCCCCGTAGCTAGCTAGCTAGCCTGGTGATCATTATATTTCATGGTGAGTATAGACCGTGACGATTTAACACTCGAAAATCTGAGTATCAGGCAGTATGAGCATCGGTATCGATGTATCAATGTCTGTACGATTAATACGTATATGTATACATACATATAAAAGGTGATGATGATAAATCGTGTACATATGTGTACATACATGTGAAGGTTATGTTAAAATATTTATACAGTTTACAGTTTTACAATCACACAGATGTGTACGTAACACATACACGAATACATATACATAAAATTAACATAAACATATAGGTGTATGCATATATATACATATATACATACATGTATGTATTTAAAAAGTGTATATATACACAAGATATGTGTTTCAGTATATATGCATATATAAATCAGCAAATACCTATATGTATATGTTAATTAATTATGAATGTTAACCACTTATACATACATTAATATGTAAGCATGTGTATGTACAGTATTAATGTAGATATAATTAACATATACATATAGGTATATGCATATACCCGATTAGAAACCTTAGTAGGGTGCTGATGGGGTCCACACTAGGCTGCCAAGTTAACCAGATGTGGTCCTAGAATAGCATCGTCATGGGGTGTATATGTGGTCCTCTCTAGTGTGCCCCAATAGGAAAGAAAGTTTACCTAACCCTTTGTATTTTTTGTGTAGGTACATCATTATATACATTTAACACAATTATCATGAGAGCACGTGCCTGATTTACCATGCGTGCTATGCAAATTATGGAGTTTATCGTCCTGCAGATAAGGGAGAATTAAATTACGGTTACATATATTTAACCCAAACACAGAAATATATAATGTTTTCAACAGTTTTAGCTAGGTTATTGGGGCAGCCTACGATGGACCCGCAGTTCACCCCGTGACGCGCCTAATGGAGTACCAACTAGGCAGCCTAAGGGGGACCCCATTAACTAAGGTGGCAAACCAATTAAATTTCTGATCGCGTACCTATATGTATATGTTAATTATCTATATATATATATATAGATGTGTGNAACTTTGAGCTCATTTATTGCTATTGTTA